CGTGGAGAGAACAGGGATCAGGCCCAGCCCTCCACCCGCACAGTTGCCGTCACGGAGAACAGCGGCCTGTGGGGACGGCCCCGAGGGAAACCGGAAGCACCCCCTTTCCCGCCGTCTCCCGGGAGCACGCGTGCCCGTCGGAAGCGGGCGGCTTTCCCGGGAATCACACACGTGGGCAGCTCGTGGGCCGGCAGCTTCGCGCCCCTGCCCTCGCCCCGGAGGCTGCCCTCCCGCCCTTTTCGGAGCTCGTCCCTCCTTGAAGAGCGTGGAGGAGTCCAGAAGCTGGGGCCTCCGGACAGAGGGCCAGGGACAGCCCCGGCCACGGTCATGTCCGTTCCTGTCCGCTCTGCGCAGCCGGTCTGGCCTCCACACGCGCCCTGGCGGCCGGAGGTCTTTGCCAACCTGAGAATCCGGCCTGTGATTGCTCTGTGGACAGAATGGCCTCCCGAGGAACAGCACGTCAGCCACTGCCTTCATCTGCCTCTGCCGGCGCCACTGCCGTCCTGTGTTGTCAGAAGCCCCAGCCCCGCACGGGCGAGAAAAACACAGGCGGGAGGCGGGAAGGGAAGAGGCGCAGCTGCCGCCATCCACAGGGGATGTTACTGGGAAGCCCTTTTCACAAACCAGAGGGTCCATGTGGCCATGTCCCAGGATGTGACGTCAACATCTAAAAACCAATTGCACCCTAACTGGTGTGGCTCAGTGGATACAGCATCGGCCTGCGGACTGAAGGGTCCCAGGTTCCATTCCGGTCAAGGGCATGTACCTTGATTGCAGGCACATCCCCAGTAGGGGGTATGCAGGAAGCAGCTGATGGATGATTCTCTCTCATCACCGATGCTCCTAACTCTCTATCCCTCTTCCTTCCGCTCTGTAAAAAATCAATAAAATATATTTTAAAAATAATAAAATTTAAAAATAAGTATAAATTAATTGCATTTGGATAAACTAGTCATACACTACTGGAAAATTTAAAAAATTTTAAATTCTGCTTGCAATAGTATCCAAATTTTTTTTTAAAATGCTAGCAATTATGTAATGCACAATGTGCAAGGCTGGGAAATATTGTTGAGAAAAAATGAAAGAAAACTTTAGAAAGGTATGCCATGATCATGGATTGAATATGATCAATACAGTATGATATTGCCAACTATATAGGCAATCAGGTGATCAATGGAAGGGAAAAAGAGTCCAGAACTAGATCCACATATATACAGTCAAGTGATTTTTGAGGAGTGTTATCAGGATTCAATGGGGAAAGAAATCTTTCTTTTCCTTCAAGAATGGTCCTGTCCAGATATCCATCTGGGAAATACAAGCCTCAATCCCGAGCTCCCACTGCACTCCCACATCAACTGCAGGAGGGTCATGGCCCCACGTGTGAAAATTAAGATTCTAGGAAAGAAACAAAAATAAAAGGTTGTGTTTATGACCTTGGAATAGGCACAGGTTTATTAGCGAGGACATTGAAAGAACAAATTACACAAGATGATAAAGTGACCTTCATAAAACTTACAGCCGCCTCCTCCTCCTCCTCCTCCTCCTCCTCCTCCTCCTCCTCAGCGGCCTTCCCTGAGCCTCGCGTCCCGGCCTGTCACCTGGCTCTGGCCCTGGCATTAAAGGACTCCCATGGCCGCAGCCCCGGAGGCCTGCCCAGGAGACACTCCGCAGCCCCTCATCTTGTGCCGGGAACAGCCCTGAGCGGGCCCCCCCCCCCCATTCCCTCAGGACCCAGTGAGGATGGATGCTCTGGACCTGCCTGGCCACCATGGACAGAGCCCCCTCTGCCTCGCCTGTCTTCCCTCAGCCCTGGCCAACTCCACCCCATAGACTGCTGCACCCTGGCCTGCCCAGACCTTCAGAGAGAGAGGCCCCAGGCGCAGGCAGGCAGCTCAGTCAGACAGGGGCTCTGGCTGCAGCTGGAAAGCCCTTTTCACAAACCTTTGTCCACCCAAATCTATGTCACCACCTCTGGGAAGCCTTCTTTGATTGCCCCCAGTCGAAGTAGCGTTCCTTTCCCTGACCCCCTGCAGCAGAGAGGGCAGTGGCTATAGCTTGGGGCTCCGTTCCTCCGTGTGTCGCTGGGAATGTGAGGACTGAGATGACCCAGGTAAAGCGCCAGCACCCTCATGGCGCACAGTAGGCACTCGGTCAATGGCAGCTGTGCATTGAGACGCTGTGGTCTCCCCCGCCACCCAGGCAGGACCACAGCACCTCAAGCTCTGGCACACAGTAGGCATCTACTGAATGCTCACCGGGCTGACCAGCAGGTGGCCCCACACCCCCATCAACCTGCCCTGCCCAGCTGCTTCTGGTCAGGATACAGAGGCAGAGCCCGGGCAGATCGGCACAGCACGGGGCAGGCACGTGGGCGGCATGGTGATCAAGGCCTTCCACTGACCCCCTCTCCCCATCTCCACCGCAGCCCTGCCCACCTTGGGAGGATTACTCCCATTTAAGAGGCAAGAAAACTGAGGCCCAGAGAAGTGTTTGATATGCCCGAGACCACAGAACATCCCCACCGTCTGTCACCTACCCCTGACTCGTCAGTGTCTTGTTCTACTGTTGGGGAACCTCAAAAAGCAGAGCGGCCCCCCCAGACCCTTCCGTGCCAGGGCGGAGGGTTTGAGCACCGGCCCTGACACAGAAGGGTCTGGGGTTCAATCCCCGGCCCAGGGCACTATCTGGGTTGCAGTTCACACCCTGCCCCCAGCCAGGGCACCGGCAGGCGGCCATGTGTCCACGGTTCTCTCCCTGTCTCTCTGGAAGCAATGGAAACGCTCTCCGGCGAGGATGACACCCACGGCTTCCTGTAAAGCCGAGCTCAGGTCTCCGGCTCTAAACAGAGTACCCCACAGGCAGGGCGGGCGGGGGGCTTCCAGGCCCTTCCCTGCCTCTGGCCTCGGCCCACGGGTGGCCACGCAGGCTGCCCAGAGGACAAAGGGAAGAACGTCACGGCTGGTGCGGGCAGCTGCGAGGACGGACTGGGGGTGCAACGGGCTCAGCAGCCAGGTCCGGAGGCGGCTGCCCGGGCTGCGCCCTCTCCCTGTGCGAGAGCGAGCTTCGGGCTCCCCTGGAACCTCGAGGCCCCCAGGTTCGAGACAGAGCCCTCTGCCATTGGCCGGTCAGGGAGCATCCTGGGGAGAAACCTCTCACACACACATGCACACACACACACGCTCCCACACATGCACATGTGTGAAGACACCTCGTGGCTTTATTGGAAGCTCCCAGGGAGGTGACCTGGAGCCCTCGCCAACGCCTGCGTCTGCACAGGCAGAGGCGAGCGTGTGGCCACTTGGCTGCTCAGCTGCCGGGTCCCAGCCGACCCTCAGGGAGCGGCCCCCACTTCCCAGGCAGCCTTGGTCCGTGGCTCCCATGCTGCCACCTGCACCCAGTACGGGGCCCCGGGCACAGGGGGTGCTCCGGAGGTAGCCGAGGGGAGGAGCCTGTGCCTATGGGGCTCTGTGACTAGACAGGCCCCACGTGGGCCGGCTTTGCAGCGGCCCATCATTTCACTGGACAGAGGACTGACGAGAGGGTCTGAACCACAGCCCCTGTGAGACCGCGTTCCCCCGGGGAGCCCGGCTCCCTTCAGAAGCCGAGGTCCAGGAAGCCCCCGATGCTGCTGTGGAGAGCGGCCTGTGGGAGGGAGCCCCGCGGGTGGAGGGAGCCTGGTTTTCCGCGTGGGAGGCCCCGGAGGCAAATCTGGGGCTGATCGATTTTCCCTCGAGCAACGCCCAGCACTTCGTCTCTCCTGCCGGCTCAGGCTGCTGGGGCGGGAATGGGGGCTGGGCCTGAGCCTGTGCCAGGCACCCTCCGTCCTGCTCAGGCAGCACGGCCGGAGCCCGCAGGGGACTCCCGGGTGGGCACTGGCATCCCACCACACCGCGGAGGAAACTGAGGCAGGAACTCTGGAGGACGCGTGCAAGGTCGCCAGGCAGGAAGCAGAGCCCAACTCGGGACTGGGAGCCTGTCCCTGCCCCCCAGCACCTCCTCACTGCCCAACACCTCAGGGAGGGGGGGAGGGCGAGTGCTGGGGAGCCCGTGAGCCCCCCAAATCTGGGAGGTCTCAGGATAGGAGCAGGGCGGGGGGGGAGGGGGATATGCCACTGTCAGGGCCCCCCTGAGGCTGCCCACGGGGCCCCGGAGGGCGGAGGGTGCTTGGCTGCTGGCGTTGTCAAGAGGCAGTCTCCTGCGTCCGACCCCTCCCCTCCCCAGCCTCCCCGCTGCCGAAGGAAATCTGGCAGCTTCTGAAAATAGCTCAGCACCGCAGCAGGCACGGTGCCTGCCCTTCAGCAGGCTGGCACACAGCTGGGGGCGGCCGCTGTGGGCAGGCACTGGCGCGCAGGCCCGGGGGTGGGTGTCACACACACAGCGCACAGGGCACCGAGCGGGGGTGGGGGGCGGCTGCCAGCCCTCCTCTCTCCTGACCTTCCCGCGCCCGGGGCCCCGGCGGCCTCCAGCCAGACAGCACGCTCCCCGGGCCCCGGACACCCTCTGCCTCGGGGGTCAAGTCCCTGTGGGTGCGAGTGGCTGCCCTCCGCCGCTTTCGTCCACTCATACAGACAGAGAGAAGCCCGGGAGCCAGGGGAAACGCCAGGCGTGTTTATTCACAGGACCCCCAGCGGAGTCTTCCCACGTGACGTGACGTGACGTGCGTGGCCCAGGGCTCCCCAGCCAGGAAAGGGGGTGGAGCAGGGACCGGGCTGGGGGTCAGGCACTTGGCAGACCAGGCCGGGGGCACGGGCGCTGGGTGAGCCTGGAGGAATGCTCGTACTCCGACCTGGGCCAGGGCCAGACGTTCGAAGCATCCCTCGGCAGCCTCCCGCCGCCCCGGGTCCGATGTGGGTAAAGAGAGGCCCCTGAGCCCTGGCCAGTTTGGCTCAGTGGATAGAGCACTGGCCGGAGGACGAAAGGGTTGTGGGTTCAATTCTGATCGAGGGCATGTACCTCGGTGGCAGGCTCTGTCCCTGCCCTGGTTGGGGTACGTGGGGAAGGCAACCCATCGATGTGTCTCTCTCACAACGATGTTTCTTTCTCTCCCCCTGCCCCTCCCTTCCACTCTCTAGGAAAGAGAGAGAGAGAGAGAGAGAGGGAGGGAGGGAGATCCCTGGTGAACAGGGAGCCCCCTGGCCCCGCCCGCAGCCGTCCACTCCCAGGGCAGTGCCGAGCTGCCAGGCGGCCGGACGAGCCATCCCGGGAGAGGCTCCGGCCTGGGACCCGGAGCAGGTGGGAGCAGAGGCTGCCTCTGTCACAGTGACAGTTTCCGAAGTAGAAAAGCATTAAAAACACCTCCCGCCTCTGCTGAGAGGAGAGGCGGCTCCCTGGGGAGGGATAACGGGAGGGCTGGGCCAGGGCCTGGGGAGAAAGAGCCCCAGGGCCCTGTGGGATGAGAATGCAACCACCCCGGGCAGGAGGGGCGGGGGGGCAGGCTGGCTGAGCCCGCGGCCTCGGGGAGACCACGAGGCTGAGAGTGAGGGCAGGCCATGGGAGAGACAGCCTCCCGGGAAGCAAAGGCACACAGACCCCAACTGCCCCTTCTCCCTCCCTGGCTCGCTCGCTCACTCACTCACTTGGCATTCCCAGACAGCAACTGGCTCCCTGGTCACCATGGCAACCAATGGCCAGCTGCCTTTCCCAAGGCCAGGCCCATCTGCCCACCCCGCAGGCGGGCATTTTCATAGGAGGGAAGCCCAGCCACGACTCCCCGTGGCCCAGAAGTCTAAGGCCACGGCCAGGGCAGGGTACCCGGGCGAAGGCACTGCAGCGGCCCCAGGCACGGCCCCTCAGACCGGCACCGGCACTGGGGCGCTGAGGGAGGGGTGGGGCCACGGTCCCCCATCCCGAAGTTCCACGTGACAAATTAAAATACAACAAAATAGTCCTTGTGTTTAAAAAAATGACCTGGGCCTCAGCCCCTGCTGTCCGGCCCGCAGCTCTGAGGCCGGCCGCTCCGAGGCCAGCTGCTCCCAGGCCGGCCGCTCCGAGGCGAGGCCGGAGCTACTGGTTGTTGCAGCCCTGCGCGCCCGAGGAGCCCGCCTGCTTCTTCCTCCGCTTGTTCAGGAGCCGGTTGTTGGAGGTCTTCAGGTCCTTGATCTTCACCTGGTCGTAGTCCACGCGCATGGTGGCCAGGGCACTGGTCATCTCCTCCTGGGGGCGGGCGTCAGGATGAGCCGGCCGCAGAGGCCAGCCCCTCCCGCCGGGCAGCCCCTTCGTAAGGTCAGAGACGGCGATGCCCGCCTCTGCTGCCCCAGGACCCCCTGTGCGCCCGGCACCGGGCCTGTCCACGCGCATCCCACGGTCCTCCCCACCGTCCTCTGGAGTGGGCGCGATGCTGACCCCCGGAGGCCCACACCGGGAAAGCGGGACTGGGACCCGGACCAGGGTCCGGGACGGGACCACGCGGCCTGTGGGGCACCGCCTCACACACACGCAGGGCGCTGGGGCCTGAGGATGGTGCCCGGGGCGTCTGGGGGTTCTGAGCTGCTGCCCCATATGCGCCAGCCTGGCCTCTGCTGCGTCTAAAACCAGGCTGGGCACCCTCCCAGGGGTGCGGCTCACAAGACGGCAGCCAGAGCCCGCAGGTGAGGGAGTGAGCAGTGCAGCGCCATGTGCCCTGGAGGGACCTCTGGCTCAGTCCCAGGCACCAGGCCGGGGCCGAAGACCCAGACCCTGAGTAGCCATCAGCCTGGGTCCCGTTTCCCAAAACCCTGGGACCCGCAGGGAGACAGGCCGCACCCACCCACCTTGACTTCGTCCCAGTGGTCCCTGTCCTCCTGCAGCACGCGGGCCGTGTGCAACGGCGTCTGCGGCACCACCGTGGATTGCTGCAAGGCCCCCGCCCGTGGGTGAGAGCCTGCGGGCACCTGCGCGGCCCCTCACCGGCTCCCCCGGCCCTCCTCCCGGGCGCAGGCGGGGAAACCCAGGCTCAGGGAGCTGAAGGAGCCTGGCAGGGGCAGCGGCCAGGGGAGGCCGAAGGTGGGGTGCTGCCACACGTATGTGGCCCACACCGAGGCGTCCCGAGCCCCCGCCCCCCACGGCGCTCACGTTGATCCAGGGGTGGTTCATGAACTGCGTGATGGTCAGGCGCTCCGTGGGGTCCGTCTTCAGCAGGAGGCGGATCAGCTGCTTGGCTAGGAACAGGCGGGGAGGGGAGGGCACAGAGTTCCTGGGAGCCAGCCCCCCATCGCGCCCCAGACACCACAGCTTCCAAGTTCCTGACCCCTGCTGCCAGCCTGTCGGGTCTGGGGCCATCCGCTGAGCAGCAGTGGGAGATGGATAGAGGCGGGCCGGGCCGGGGGAAAACGGGGCCGGGCACGGGCCTTAGAGGGAGTCTGAAGGAGGCAAATGCTGAGCCTGTCTGACAGAGAGAGAAGCCCGAGCTCAAAAAAGCCAGTGACCTGCCTGGGGTGCCCAGCGGGCAGGGGGGGAGCCAGCCCTTGAGCACAGGGGGGTCTGACCCCCGAGGGGTGTCCAGGCTGAAGACGGAGGGCCCGGGGGGGCGGGGGCTCACTCACCGTCCTCGGACACCTCCGACCACTCGGGGTTGGGGAAGCCGTACTGGCCCAGGCGGATCCTGCGCTTCATGCCCGGCGAGATGGCCTGGCCCGTGTTGGAGTAGAAGGGCGGGAAGCCGCACAGGCTGTGGAGGGCGCGGGGCGTTGGCACCAGCGGGGGCAGTGCCAGGGCAGACCTTTCTCCTCCCCCGGGTCCTAACTGGGAGACAGGCAGCCAGACGCCATGGCAACAGTGCCAGCCCTCTGTCCCCCCTCGCCCCCTACCCGGGGAGTTTCCCAGGACCACCATCTGCCCATGGAGCAGACAGGCCTCAGGGGAGGGCAGCTGTGGTTCTGGGGTGCACAGGGTGCAGGAGGCGGACACGGCTGTACTCACAGGATGTACATGATGACACCCAGGGACCACATGTCACATGACTTGTCATACTTCTCCGGACCCAGGACCTCAGGAGCTGCAGGGCGGAGGGCAGAGGGCACGGGAGGTCTCAGCCCCGAGGGTCCGGAGCCCAGGCAGGAGCCTGACGCCCGGGCGAGGGGGGGGCAGGAGCCATGCGAGGGAGCGGGGCTGCGCAGACTGGCGTCTGGCACCGTCTGGGAAGGCAGCATGTGTGTGAAGTCGGGGGAGGCAACGCAGCTCCCCGAGGAAGTAAACCCGCATCCTGGCTGGGCTGGAGGGAGGAAGCCTTCAGCGCCTTCAGGCCGGCTCAGGCATGGTGGGCGGGCAGAGGAGAGAAAGGCCGGCCCAGGGCTCGGCGAGATCCCGTCACAGGTGCCCCCAGATGCCCTGTGTCCCTGCCTCCCTGGACACACAGGGCAGGGAGGGGTGGGCAGGGCTCCGGACCCCCCTGTCCGCTTGGCCACCGTCCATGGGCCTCGGTCTTCCCATCAGGGCAATGGATGAGAGCCCAGAGGTGTAAGTTAAAAGCCTGCCAAGCAGGTCCTGACACACGGGTCCAGCCATCTCCGCCCCTCACAGCTCTCGGAGGCTCCGGAGGGAGAGGAGCCCTCGGCGAAGGCGGCTTCACCCACGCCCAGAGGGCACCTGTAACAGGGACGGCGAGCTGCGGGCTGCCCGCTCACAGGGAGCCGGGAACTTTCGGGAAGGGGAGCGGGGAGAGAACACCGCGGCACCAGGCTCTGCCGGCCCAGCAGCCTTCACCGCGTGTCTATTTAGAGCTGCCGTGATGTCATCCGGCTCAGGCTGCAGCCAGAATTTTCCTGGATCTATTTTCAAAAGCAGAAGCTGAAGTTCGGGAGGCTATTTCTGCAGCCTCCGGCCCCCCGCCTCCCTGCCTCCGGGCACACGGATCGCCCTCCCTCGCTCCCGGGCGTTAACCCTTGGGCTTCTGCAGCCCCCGGCGCCCCACGCCACGCCCGAGGACTCACCCACGTAGTAGGGAGTGTAGCAGGGTGTCTGCAGGGCATTCTGGGTGGTCTCCTTGGCAAAGCCGAAGTCGGTGAGCTTGAGCACCGCGTCCTTCTCCTTGGACGTGTAGAGCAGGTTTTCGGGCTGGGCGGGCCGGGAGACAGGGGCTGGAGCGAGGCACCAGGCGGGGACGGAGCCTCAAGGTGCCCTCTCGCCAGACTGCCTCCCCTCTCGCCCCGGCTGGTGCCGGAGCAGCCAGGCCCAGGCCCAGGAGGAGAGGAGGAGGGTGTGGGGCGCTTACTGCCTCCCCTCTCGCCCCGGCTGGTGCCGGAGCAGCCAGGCCCAGGCCCAGGAGGAGGGGGTGGGGGGGCGAAGTGCCAGAGCAGAGCCAGGGAAAGCTCTTCCTCGGGTTCGAGTGAGCCGATCTGACCTTGGATGGGGAAGCAGGTTTTGTCTACACCAGGGAACCTCCGGGGGAAGGTTTTCCCCCGCTGCTGGGAGAGGGGGAAGGAAGCTGGGGCCAAAGCAGGGCTTCAGAAGGTGAGTCTGCGGTGGCTGCGGGTGGACCCGGAACCCAAGGAGAACTGTAGGGGGTGGCAGGACCGGCCGGAGGAGGCCCGGAACCAGCAGCGGGGCCACAGCTGGCCCGCAGCTCGCTGGCCCGGGGAGGAAGCAGGACTCCGGAGGCCAAGCTCCGGGCCTGGGCAGGCACGTGCGGGGGCCTCGGTGTGCCTCCCATCGGCCTGACTGTGACCTCTAAGGCCCAGTCCTGCTGGCGAGGGAGGTGGGAGGGGCCGGGGTGGGGGAAGCCGTCCTCGGAAAGAGCAAGCAGCACTGGCAACCGGACCCACGTGGCCCCTTCCTCCTTGCCGCCCAGCGATTGCCTCTTTCCCGCCAAAGGCTGGCGTAAGAGGGCGCGGCCTGGAGGCTGTCTCCTCAGGAAGCCCCCATGGGGCCAGGCAGCCTTGCCCGGACCCGCACAGGCTGCAGGGTGAAGGCAGCAAGGAGACCCGCATGGCTGCAGCCACGTGAGTGAGCTGGAGCCGGGGAGAAGAGACAGGAGCCCAGCCTGGGCCGGGAGCAGAGCCTTGAAGGATGGGCCTGCACACACTGGGTGCTGGGAGCCACTGGGGGGGTGACTCTCACGTCTCCCCTGGCCCCCCGACCTGGGCCCTGGCCCTCACCTTGACGTCACGGTGGGCGATGTTGTGGCTGTGCAGGAACTGGATGGCGGTGCCGATGTCACGCATAATCTCCGCAGCTTCTGCAGACACGGGAGAGCGAGCGGTGCTGGTCAGAGGCCAGGCAGCCTGCACCCCAGAACCCCATCCCATACACCTGCCCAGTCACCCTCGTTTCCTCGGGGGCTGCCTTAGCCCTCGCTCCTCAGGCCTGGGCTTCCTCTCCCCAGCTCAGCGGCTGGGCGGTACCAGGAGCTCTGAGGCCTCCACCCCAGGCCACGGAGAGCCCATGCTCCTGGGACTCGTGGGGCGGGACACCGTCTCACCCTCTTGTTCAGCTGGGGAGACTGAGGCACAGAGAGGAGCAGGGCCTTGTCCAGCATCACACGGCAACGCTGTGTGATCCCTCTCAGTCCGAACCCTGCACCCCTCCCTCCCCGTCCCTCCCTCCTGCCCTGAGACCCGGCCCTGCCGTCACCTCTCTCGGTGAAAGCCTGGTCCCCTCGCTCCTGGATCCTGCTGAACAGCTCGCCGCCCTCCATGCTGGAAGAGAGGGGACTGAGCGGCTGTCCCCGGCCAGGCTCAGGCCCTCTGCCCTCCCCGGGGGCAATCCCGGCAGCGCCCTGGGCCTCGGGCAGCCTGGAGCGAGTGGCTGCCAGCTTGAGGGGGTGGAAGCGAACTCTCAGAAGGAGGGGCGGGCGGTGAGCTCAGACCCTCCGGGCGTACCACTCCATGATGATGAGCAGGCAGCGCTTGCTGCGGTGCATGTTCTCGTACACGTCCAGGATGCGCACGATGTGGGGGCCGCCCGACGCCTGCCAGTGCTGCTCCACCTCCTGCCGGGCCTTGGGGCTGTCGTAGAGGACCTGGGGCGGGCGGGGCGGGGGCGGGGGCTCAGGGAGGCCTGGGACCTGCCCGGCGCCCCGCGTACGAGGACAAAGCGAGGACCGGAGGACAGGTCTCGCCGGCATGGGGTCCCGGGGTGAGGTCAGCCCCTCGCAGCGGGGCTGCTGGCCGGGGAGGCCCTGGGGGGGCTGCCGGTGAAGTGGAAGTGAACGGGCTGGACGTCCAGCGGCATCGGCTGTGGGGCCCAGGCCAGGGCCGCACCCGGGACGGCCCAGGGTTGTGGACCCAGAAAGAGAGCCTGGGGGGCAGAGAGGGCCCTAGTTGAGGGAGGTGACGGCCTGGAGGGGTGCAGTCCGGGTTTGGGGCTAAATTTCTCCTATGACTCAGCGTGGCCTCAGGCAAACTCTCCCAGCTCCAAGCCGCAGCCCACAGCCCAGTGGCAGAGCCATCCCCACAGGATGCGTCACGCACGGCAGGGGGCGGGTGGCAGCGCAGGGATCCTCGCTCACTCAGGCTCGCTCAGCCTGGGCGACGGCCTAGAAACCAGGACGGCTCGCTCCTGCTGCCGAGCCCCCGCAGAGCCCTCCACGCTGCGCCCGCACAGACCACACCCCGGCTTCTCGCTCATGGTGCCGGAGGCAGAGGCTCGGACACCCGCTCAACACGTCCGCCTGGAAATGGAGTCTGGGGCAGAGGGGGCCCCGGGTGAGGGAGGTGGGGTTCCAGCCAGAGGATGCGCTTGCGGGTCCCACACGGGCCGCACCCGCCCGAGTCCATGTCTGTGCACACGCACTGCCGCCCTCGCCGTCTCCGGCCGTCAGCTCCCTCCCAGCCCCTGCCTCTGTCCCTCCCACCAGGCCGCAGCAGCCTGAGGGCAGAGGCAGGTCTGCAAAGCTGGGGATCCCAGGCAGGGGCTCCTGACAGAATGAGGGGGATGGGGGTGCGGGAGGGGCTGTGGAGGAGGGGCCTGAGGTCTGGAGGGAGCGGGCACAGGGCTCCCCGAGATGGAGGAGGGCGCAGCTCCCCAGCAAGAAATTAACCATGCCTCCCACCCGCTCAGTGCATATTTAGGGACTCGGTTCCCACACACATTAAAATAGCGCTTCTCTGCCGGGACCGATTTGGCTCAGTGGATAGAGCGTCGGCCTGCAGACTGAAAGGTCCCGGGTTCGATTCCGGTCAAGGGCATGTACCTTGGCTGCGGGCACATCCCCAGTGGGGGGTGTGCAAGAGGCAGCTGGTCGATGTTTCTCTCTCATCGACGTTTCTAACTCTCTGTCCCTCTCAATTCCTCTCTGTGTAAAATCAATAAAATATATTTTTAAAAAATAAAAATAAAAAATAAAATAAAATAGCGCTTCTCTGAGTGCCAGGGCCCCGAGAACAGGCCCAGGAGCAGGGAGACGCTGACCCCAGAAAACATAGAAGCCATCCCCGCCTCTCGGCGGGGCCCCACCCAGGCCCAGGTGCCAAGAGCTGTCCCAGGCAGCTGCCACTCTTAGTCCGACCCTCGTGCTGTCCCTGGAGAGTGGCCCCAAACCTCCTGAGCCTCAGCTTTCTCCCCTTCCTCCCCCATAGCCAGGGACTTCTCTTCTAGGCATCCACCGACGCCACCTCCTCCGGGAAGCCCTCCCTGACTACACCGTCTACGAGGGTCTAAGGGCCCCTCGTTCCCTCCCCACCCTTTACTTTTCCTCCTTTCTGTACCTTGTTTACCGAAGTAAACACACCGATTCCAAGAGCCCAGCTCTATGAGGCTTTCTGTTGTTCTTTTTATTGCCAGCTCAGTGAATTCTGACACTTGCACACACCCCTGGAAGCCACACCCCCATCGGGACAGAAAACATTTCCAGCTCTCGGGAAGCGCCCCCGCGTCCCCTTTTACCTCCCTCCTGCGTAGCACTGGCTCACAACCTACAATTAGCTGTGCCTTTTGATAACCCTAATCACACTCACACACACACACACAGACACACACACAGACACACACACACATTGCACTTTCAACATGCCTGGCTCTGCTCGGAGCCTTTATAAACGCTGGGAAGCTGGATAGCCGAGTCCCCCGCCCCTCCCCACACACCGGACGGTGGGCCCGGCCAAGGACGGGGGCAGAGGGCCCACGCCCTCCAGCATCGCCTCAGAGCTGGCCACGCCCCACGCCTCTCCCCACCCAGGACCGAGGCGCCTGCATTCTCCGGGGCAGGAGCTGGGCCAAGAGCGGCGGCATCTGCCGCTGGAAAAGCTACCTGCCGCTTACACACGCGCTCCTGTGTCTCCCGGGAACGCGGGTGCCCCCTGTGCGGCCAGCGGGCGGGACCAGCCCAACGCACGGAGGAGGAGAGAGGCCCAGGGGTGAGTCCTGGTGGGGCTGCAGGTCGGCCCCTCCCCCAGAGGCCACGTCAGGGGGGGTGCGCCACGCCAGAGGCTCTCAAGACTCGGGAAACTCGTTCTGAAACACACGTGTGCACAGGCGCACAGGCCTGTGCACGGGCAGGGCGTGTGAGGTGGGGGTGTGCGTGCGTGGGAACACGGGTACAGGCGGGTACAGGCGGTGCGTGCGGGGTGTATGGTGTAGGGACGATGGGGGCGTGAGGGTGTGGGCCTGTGGCTCCAGCCTGTGGTGTTGGCTTCGAGCCCCCAGAGGATGGGGCCCATCCATCTGTCCATTTTATTCACCTAGTATTTCCTCCTTCTCCAAGTGCCCGGCAGAGGACTGGCACAGAGAGGGGCCCAGGAAGGACTGGGGTCTTGCTGTCACTGCCCAACCCGTGACAGAAAGCCCTGCCCACGCAGGTGACCCTCTGCTCAGCCCACTGCTCCCACTGGGGCCCCTTCCCTGAGCCTCTGAGAGCTCGGAGCTGGACGTCTGCAGCCGCCCGGTGAAGACGCAGCCCTGGGACCAGCCCACCGCCTCTCCAGTGCCTCCCAGCCCAGGGCGGGCCACGCAGCCCACAGCCCCCCATGCTCAGTGCCCGCAGCCCATCGCCCGGGGCTGGCTCTCCTCAGATGACAGTGTCACAGGCCTCCATCCGTCACACGCACACACACACACACACCCAGGAGGCCCCGGGCCACCAGCCTGGGTAGGCAGCTCTCCCCGCCCTTCACCTTGGCCTCTGCCGGAACCCCCCCGCCTTCCGGGCAGCAGGTGGCCTCCCATCTCCCACCGGCCAGGCGCCGCCAACTGAAGAAACACGGGTGCTGGGTTTCGTGACACCCACAGCCCGAGGTCCTCCCTATGACAGAGGGAGCTCTGACGCCAGGCACCCAGGCCTCCCTCCCTGCGCGCCCCCGAGTCCCTGCCCGGCCCCGACCGCAGGGCTGCAGGCGTCCGTAACCCACGGCGTGACGGGGCCAGGGAAGACGAGAACGCCGTTCTCTGTGAGCGAAGAGGAGGCGGCGCGCAGCGGAGGCCAGGAGGTTTGCACGCTGAGCCCCCCGGTGGGCTGGGCGGAGAAGGGAACCAGGCCGGTGCTGGCTCTCACCCCCAGGGATGGGAGCTCACTGATGCCCTGAACTCCCGCCAAGACCAGATTCTCAGCCACTTAGCACTGGCTGTTCCGGAGGGACAGGTAGGACAGCCGGCCACGCCTTCAGTGACTGACTGTGCAAAGATACAGCATCAACGGCCACGGCTAAGGTGGGCCTTCATCAGCACCCGGCACCGCGGCCCGGCACACCAGCAGGAGTGCTGATAGCACGACGAGGCCCGTTACTTTCCTGGGCCTCCGGCTCTGTCCTGGGCCTGAGGATGGAGAGGGGAGTGGCAGGAGGGGCTGGCATGGCCCTGACCCTCTCCCCTGCCTGGGGGGGTCTCCTCGGAGCCCCAGCAAGCGCAGGCTCCGCAGTGCACATGCTCAGTGCCGCATGTGCTGGCGGCAGGACCGAACAGGATTTTACAGAAAAATGTGGGCTTTCAGCTCATCTTTTTCCCTGCGGGAGCCTCTGTTCTCTGCAGGGAGGCTGGGGTGAGAACAGCAGTCTGCATCCGCCACACGCTCAGCCACATCTGAGGTCCCTCCGGCTCCCAGCGCCGAGGTCCTCTCCTGGGCCAGGGGCACACTCCCCCTGCCCCAGGCCGGCCAGCGTGACCTCTGCTGGCTGCTCTGTCCACTCAGAGCAGAGGCCTCAGACCCAGGATGGGACAGTATAGACGGACCTCGAGGTCAGGAGTCAGAGCAGGGGTGTCCTTTTTTAAATCCTCACCTGAGGATATGTTTTGATTGATTGATTTTTATTATTTTTATTTATTTTTTGAAAGAGAGGAAAAGGGGAGGGAGTGGAGAGAGAAACATCGATTGCCTCCCGTCCAGACCACACTGGGCACGGAACCTCCAAACTTTTGGTGCCCAGGACGATGTCCCCACCCACGGAGCCGCCGGGCCAGGGCAGGCATGTCCTGTTAAGGCCCCAGTATCTTCCTTATCAGAAGCTGTCCCCCCACCCCCCACCCCCAAGGGCACCAGAGCCACTTGGGGAGCTGCCTGCCAGCGTCAGATCGAACATCTTAGCCACAGCTTCGCATTTAGCGCCTCAGCCGGTGGCATCGCTCCCGAGAGCTCATTTCCCAGCTTTCCCAGCTCATTAGGGCTAATGGGACCTAATGGGACCGAAGGCGCAGCTCGGGGCGTGCTGGCCTCGCTCCATCAGGTCCTGACCGTGTCCTGTGTCCGGCCCCACTGGCCGGCCGCTGACTTCTCCGCCTCCACGGCTCGCCACTCCCTGACCCCTGGTGCCCGGCCCCCGCGGATGCTCAGCCTTCCGGGCAGTGACCGGGCAGTGACTGCCTCTCCCCCTGGTGCCCTGCCAGCGCCCGTGTCCTGAGAAGCCCGGCGTCCTCCTTCCGCTGTGGACACACTGGGACTCTACGCGCTAAGGGGCTTGCCAAGTCACAGCTGAGCAGGGAGAGTCCATACCCACGTGGACCTGGTGGCCCCAGGGCAGTGGGACCCCTTGGCCCCGGGCAGTGGGACTGTCAGCCCCTGGGCAGTGGGGCCCCGCAAACAGCTGCTGGGCT